TTGTGAAGCACTGAAAGCAGAACCTTCCTGGATCTTCTTTATAGCAGTGGGTTGGTTAAATGTGGGGGCCACACACTCTGAATTCTTGGTTTGCCCAATAGCAGTAGGTGGTTCTGTTGGTGGAGAGTCCCTGGTCATGCCAAAGTCAGGGATGCCGACCAGGAGGCCCCATGTTTCTATCCACATTACAGAATGTATTTGTCATTCATCTTAGTATCTGAGGCCCATAACTGACACAGACAATTTGGAGATAGCTATGGAGGCCACAAAAGCCACCATGGCCTTTGATAGCTGCAGCCCACCATTTAGGACCTGCAGCAAATCCACTTTGTGCCAGCAGTTACTTTTAGGAACATAAGCCACAAAAGAATGGGAGAGGAGGGCTGGGGAGAGGGAAGACTTGGGCTGCAGGACGAGAGTTGCCGAGCTCCCATCCAATCCCAGGGCACCTCTGGAGCTGGGATGGCCCTCAGACATGTCCTCAGTTGAGGTTAGGAGGCTAGGTCTTCGAACAACTGCATGCACCACTTGCTGGACACTGGTTGCCCTAGAGAAGTGTGTGATCTTGGATTAGGCAGTGTCCTTCAGCCTAGACAAGTCCTCAGGAAGCACTCAGTGTGAGGGGGGCATAGGGCCTGGGGAGGAGGGGGGTCTATCTATATAATAAGTATATATATATGTATATATATTTATTTTTATGTTTTAAAAATTTTATTCATTTATTTATTTGGTACAGGGTCTTGCTATGCAGCTCAGACTCATAGTGATCCTCCTGCCTCAGCCTCCCAGTGCTGGGATTACTGGCATGCTCCAATATGCCCTGTTTTGGTGGATGGCTCAGCACAGTGTGCTAGCCAGGCAGGTGCTTAGACCGCCAAGCTATCTTCCTGGCCAAACCATTCACTTATTTATTTATTTAATTTAGCTCTGACTCGTAGTGATCTTCCTGTCTCAGCCTCCCCAGTGCTAGGATAATAGGTGTGCACCACCACACATGGTTCAGGGGATTGAACCTGGGGCCTTGCACTTGCCAGGCAGGTGCTTAGAACATCAAGCTATCTCCCCGGTCCCATCTGATATATTCTTATCTCTTCTTCAACTGATTTTGGGTACAGAAGTAATAGGAAGGAATAAAACTCAGCTTTTTTTTTTTTTTGGCAGAACCAGGTATTGAACTCAGACCCTTGCACTTGCCAGAGTAGTGCTTATTCTACTGAGCCATCTCCCTAGCCCCGAAAACTCAGCTTCTTTCAATTTCATATCAGTCAGCAGGGACTTCCTGAGAGGGATGTGTGGGACCTGAAACCTCAGGTCAGCTGGAGACGGCTCTTGACTGTAAGAGGAAAAATGCCAGCGCAGGAGAACTGCTGCCATAGTGGCTGGTGTTGAGTAAAAACTTACTATGTGCCAGGCACAATGCCAAGGATTAGCTCAGTCACCTTCTTGGGATGCTTCTAGATGTCTAGAGAGTATTTTAGTCACATTTTACAGATGGCTTCTCTGACGTTCCCATACACAGCTAGTAAGGGTCAAAGTGGAACTGTTTTTTTTTATTTATGTTTTTGTACAGGGTCTCACTATGCAGCTCAGACTCGAGTGATCCTCCTGTTTTCAGCCTCCCAAGCGCTGGGATTACAGGTGTGCTCCACCATAGCCTGACTCAGTCATTGGCTCACGGTGCCCCAGGGGGCGGGGCCAGCACAGCATGTGGGACAGAGATTGAAGCCTGGTCCCTACGCTTGTCAAAGCAGGTGCTTAGTCTGCTCATCAGCCCAAAATGGAACTCTTTTAAGTCTTCTCACTCCAAATTCTGAGCTATGAAAAGCCATCCTCTATCCTCTGTGCAGAAGCAACTGAGACATGCTGGAGTTTTCTACAGAGTGAGGAATATGAGGCGGTCGGGGATGGGAGCTCCAGGCCTGATGTTAGTGCATGTGTGTTAGGGGAGTGGGGCTCTCAAGGATGCTATGAAGCGAGACGGTAGCTCTCATGGTGTTTTATGAAACACCCCTCTGAGAAGTCCCGGTAGCAGGGAGGCATGATGGGGTGGCCCAGGGCCTGGACTGTCTATGCCACTGTGAGCCCTTGCATACAGAGTGCATCTCAGCACAGCTCTCCTTGGTGAGCCTCTCAATGGCCCCTGAGGCCATCTGAGCAGGTGTGATGACTGGCATGCCACATATAGATGACACCCAAGGTTTTCACTGTTTGGTGAATGGTGCCAGAGCAAGGCCCGACATCCAGATTCCGAGGTCCATTCTGATACATTCTTTTCTGTTTTGGGGAGCAGGAGCACTGTGAGCATTTTATTTTATTTATTTTTTTTTAAATTATTTTATTTTATTTTATTTAGTGTGTGTGTGTGTGTGTGTGTGTGTGTGTGTGTGTGTGTGGCCAGCTCAGCCCACCAGGGGGCGTCCTGGCTGGCATGTGGTGCTGGGGGATTGAACTGTGGTCCCAGTGCTTTGCTAAGCTTGTTCTAAGTAGGTGCTTTAGACCACTGAGCCATCTCACCAGCCCCACTGTGAGCATTTTAGAACGCAACGTCTATTAAGCACTGTAGGAAAAGCCACATGGCCAGATTTACCATGTCAATTTAAAAATATTAGCTTTAAAAATTCTGTCAATTTATACTCAGTTTTTGTTCCATTGTTCTTTTTATTGATTTTCTTTATTGAAATGGGGAGGTTTGGGCAGAAAATTGGTGATTTTTCCCTGGTGTGTTTATTTTCTCCTTAGGTATTCCCAAATGAGGACGCTGCCACCTCCCAGGTCACTCAGGAGCAGAAGGCAGAGGAAATATTTCAGCCCAAGGTGTTTTACATCAACGACTTCTTTAGTCGAGATGACAAAAGTATTTATTACAGGCAACGCCTGGCCAGGACTGTCTAATGGCTCTCAGAGGCTGCAGTAAAGGCAGTCTGTGCCCCGAGCAAGACGGACTTCTGAGGCTGACCTGGGAGGGCCTGACTGAGGTGGCCTCAGCATTCCTGCAAGATGGGTGGAGCAGAGCGGCTGCTTTTCTGGTGAGGAAGTTGTGAACAATAGACACCCACCTCTCTGGCCTTTTTGGGAGGCAGATTTATGCCTGGGCCTTGTCCTGAGCTCCGCTCTGCTCTTAGCTCTGGGGTGGAACAGCTGTCACTAGGGACTCCACTTTCAGGAAAGATAGAGCTGCCGTGGGCCAGGCCCACCCACCCGCCTGCTTGCCCACACCTGCACTCTGTGAAGCCTATGAGATTTCTTTCCAGCCAGGGTTAGAATGTGATAGCCAGGATGGGTGTTTCTAGGATTTGCCTCCTAGAAAGCTTAAAAACACTGATTCTGAGATTCTCTTATCCATTCCCATTTAGTACTTCTACAAGGGGGAGGGAAGAGTCTCAAATAAGCCAGTCATAAGGCGGACACAGATGATTCTTTGGACTGGGTAAGTTTCAAAGCAGCAGGGTAGACCACATGTCAAACTGGTCAGACCTGAGTCAGCTGGAGGCTCACTGCAGAGTGCGGAGCCTCTTCCCAGTGGCCAGGAATTTACATGTCTAGCACACACCCAAACTGTGTGGATGCCATGCAGAGGGATAGGGACATTCCTGCAATAGCCATTGATGCAGAAGCTAAGAGCAGAACTGTAGAGCCAGATTTACCCGGCTTGAGCCTCAGTTTTGTCATCTGTGGCATCATATCAGTCTTCACATCTACCTTCTAAGTAGGGTTCTTTTGAGATTTAAGTGAGTCAATATTTATTGAGCACATAGAGCAATGTCCTATTAGGATTACATGTTTGCCAAATGGATGGAAGCCTAGCTGGTAGTCTTCTATTTGTTCATCCACTTGACAAATACTTAGTAGGCAAGTATCCTAGGCTGGCTCTGCGATAAATACTGTGGTTTAGATGGTTTGCCTGTGTTCCCAAAGGCTCATGTGCTAGACGCTTGGTCCCAGTGGTGGTGTTGAGGTGGTGAAAGCTTTGAAGGTGGGGCCTGGGGCAAAGTTATGGAGGCACCATCCATCGAAAGCATGAAGAGTAGTGTTCGGGAGCAGGTTCACGCTCCAAAGAGTGAATGGTTGTATAGCGAGTCTCGCTGTATGCTCAGCTCCTTCTGCATACGTTTCTCTACCATGTTGTTGTGTGGCCAAGGGGACCCATACCAGAGGCCAATCAGATGGGACTGCCTGATCTTGGGCTTTCTGGCTGTTATGCAGCAAACTAAATAAAACATTTTATTTAGGAAGTATCCAAACTCAGGCTTTTTGTTGTGACAGCAGGAAACAGTTTAGCATGCTCAGTATAGGACAGCTCTGTGTGCAGAAGGCAGGTCCGCCTCTTGATGCTCTTCAGTAAAAAGCAGTGATTATTGCCGTAGGGCATGAATTTTCCCAGCATATCATTCAGCAGGACTCCACAAAACAGAAACAGTGATAGAATCGGTATCAGGACCCTGTCCTTCTCTGCCACCTTCCTGGACTTGGTTTGCATGGCTCCCAGGCTGATCTGGAGCCACAAGTTCATGCATGTGATGCTTTGCCATTTGCCTCTGCATGGGCAGTGGGTTCCGTAAGCACAGGCTCTGCGTCTGTGTTCATCCCCTTATACAGAGCAGTGCGTGGTGCGTTAGAGCTGCTCATGGGTATTTGTGGACGGGCTGGCTGGCAGTTGCAGGAGACTGGGGCCCTCACCAGTGTCTGGAGGAGTTTTCTATCCAGCTTATCTTCCTTCATGAGTGGCCTCTTCAGTTCCTTCTTTCTGCAGAGCTGCAGAGATGGTTCTAAATCTCAGGGTTGGTTTGCTCATTGCTCAACTCAAACTCCTTTCTTGGCATCCTTTTAAAAGTACCTGTGTTCATGGGTTGTGTGTTGACTGAACCCTACAACTTCTGAGCTAATTCATGTCCCAATTTACAAATAATTGAAACTATGTGGCTACCAATCAAAATTGTTGATTAGCAGCAATAAGGGGGCTAAAAAAGTCAACTTAAAGCTAAGAAACTCGACATCTTACTGACCTACACAGATTTTCCTCGCATGAATGTATATTTTTGCCAAAATTCTATACTTACTGAAATTAGTCCTCTCTCTAACTGCCTGGTTCAATTCTCAGGGATTGTGGGGTGACTGATAGAGAAGCCACAGGACTAAGGGAAAATCCAAACTTCTTAGTATTGCATGTAGGACTCTGTGATGGCCTGTGTCTAGGTGTCTCCCCAGAGCCTTGTGCCATCATAGGTAGGGCTTTGCAGAAGTGGCTGATCTAGGGTCTATGATGCTGGGACTGAGTATGTGATATTGGGATTAAGGGTATGTGGTTTGGGATTAAGGGTGTGTGGTTACTAAATTAGTGCACTGATTGGTTTGGGGTAATTCTGAGTGTTGATAAGGGGAAGGCCCTAGCTGGGTATGGATGGCATCACTCGAAGAACAGGTAGCCTGGAAAAGATAAAAGGGAGAGCAGGCTGCTGCTGCCTCATGACTCTGGTGCTTGTTGCCTGGCTGCCTTCTGCCTGCATGAACTGTTCCTCCTCTTCTGCGCCACCCTGGCTTGGGTGCAACCAACTATTAACTGAAACTGATATACACTGTAAGCTACGATGTATCTTCCTTCAATTTTGGGTTCAGGTATTTTGTCTCAGCAACAATAAAGCTATATAACTTCTGACATTGCCAGTCCTACGGATAACCCACTACTATTACGGACTACTGGACTATATTGGGTTACTTTGCTGAATCCATGCACCTGCAATATTTGAATGGCAATGGAATACCCATCTCTGACAAAAGTAAATAAAAAAGGGGGATTTAAATGAAGGACCACTGTGTAGTTAAAAAATACATACATACATATATCTATATTTCTATATATCTGTATATACAAAATAGCATAGATTATACAGCTACTTTCTCTAATTCAATGAGAAGAAGGATTTGTACTAACAGTGTTTGGACAGGATATCATGTCTGTGTCTTATAGTATGAATTACTACCACGAAGACAACATGCAATGTATTAATTATTATAACTGTCCTACTAACCTGTTTTGAAACTGTCTCATTGCTATTTGTTTCTCAATAAAATAAATAAAAAAACCAAGAAAAGTAACTAAGACAGAGTCACATATTTGGCTCAGTGTTCCCCTGTGAGTTTTATCTACTTGCTGGGTTCTGTTTATAGGCCTGTCTCCTTGACAGGGTAGGGGCCATTATAGCCCTGAGCCTAACAGCACAGTGTGCATACAAAAATGGTGGACTAGACAAACCACAGTGAAAAAAAAAAAACACCAAGACTTGGGGGCCAGGGAGATGGCTTAGTGGAATAAGTGCTTCCCTGGCAAGTGCAAGGGCATGAGTTCAAATCCCGGTTCCACCAAAAAACAAACACAAAAAACCCAAAAACAAACAAACAAACAAACAAACAAAAAACCACAGTGCATTATGTGCAACAGATTTGCTTTTAAATGATCATTTCAGATTATTTTTCTCATATTTATAATTTGCATTATTCAAATTTTAATATACCTGTGATCTTATGAAGACTCTACACTTTCTGTAACTAGGTACTCATTTGCATACTGCTGAACACTAAAGTGATACCCACAGGAAGTTTTAGAAGGATGGTGGTAAGGTACCAAGACAGAGGTTTAGGAACTGGTTGGTATCTAGCATGTATTTCTATTTCATAATCCCGCCTGCCGTCCCTCAACCTGCCACCTGGGATTGTTACTGACTTCTCACTTCAAGCTCCAAGGGACTATTTAGAGTCTGACACATGGCCCCTGGCCTTGGGGACCTGGGTCTGCGAGTCTCCCGACTAGCCAAGTTGGCTTTGGCTGCTGGACAATGTGACCCTTGGAATTTGGGGTGTCCTGAAGATCAGGAGAAGATCCTAGGAAAGTCTCATAGAAACCCAGAGAAACACCCCTAAGGGGAGAGCGAACTTGGGGCATCTGTGATGGTTCTTACAGCTGTGTGCTATTTGGAGGAGAGTGGGAGAAGACTTCCTGGGAGGGCTCTGGGAGGGGCGGGTGGGCAGAGATGAGGGGATGTGGAAGGCTGGGCAGTGGAAGGAGGCTTCCCTGTGACCCTCGGCCCATGAAGGACCCCCTGCTTAAGATGGGGAGACCCTGATGTTGGTGTAGAGTAGGGACTTAGGAACAATGACTCTGCACCCAGCACTTTAATTACTGAGAGGTGATTGTGACTAAAAGTGATTGCAAGGCTACTTGTTGTCTAAGAGTGATCCAAAGAGCTCTGGAAATGCCTAAGATATTATCCCCAGAGCAGTAAAGAAACAACCCAACACTGGCTAGCTTGAAGGGACAGGGATCCAGGATATCAGAGAAAGTTGTTCAATAGAACCACACTGACACTAATATCTGAAAAGTATTTATATAATGATGTGTGTGGAACAAGCATGTAGCTATAGTTGTGGCAGAAAGACATGAAATCATTCACCCTGAGATCACTGAGAAGAATAACAATTCTCCTGGACTCTGTCTGTGGCTGCCTTACTGTGTGCCATCCCTGACCTGGGTTTATTCCAAGAGTCAAGCTCTCTTTTGTGACCATGTGTCATCTGCATTTGTCAATTTTTGTGTCTATATATGGAGACTTCTTTCTCTGCACTTAGACGGATATGATAGGCTGCTGTGATTTATGGGTATGCCATTGGCTCAGGCTCAGTGTTTCCCCTTTTCCTGAGCTTTGTCGGATCTTGGGCTGCTAGCACAAAGGCCCACAGCTAGAGCGCATGAGGAAGGTGACTAGGTTTTCAAAGACTTGGGGCTGAAGTAGTGGTGCTAGCTGTGGTAGGGGTGTGGAGCAAGAGGGGCCCCATAGATTGATTATGCTGTAAAAATAGAACCCCTTGCCCTGGATTTTCAGGGTAAGCAGCTCTTTTTCCTTCCACTCTTGCCTTTCATGCATACTGTTTGTGTGACTAGAACTCAGTCATGCCTAAGGGAGTCATCTACAGTGACCATGTGTGGTCATGTATCCCACATGTTCAGTATTGTGTTAGATACTTGAACCCGGTCCTCCTGTGGATGGGGTGGTGGGAAAGAGCTGGGGGCCTGGCATGCACCCACACTCCTACAGGGTCTTGTGCTGGATTTCATAGTCTGTGTTATTGCCTCAGCCAGAATTGAATAAGGTGCCCCAAACTTTCAGCTTGCACTGGGCCCTGCAAATTATGCAGCCAATTCTGGTAGGCGTTCTTCTGTTGGTCTAGCTAGCGTGTTCTCCCGGGAAGCCAGCCCCATGCGAATACAGCTTAAACCACCTTGTACAGGAAACTGTTCGACAACAGCAAGATCCCTGAGCAACATGCTTGTTATATGGGGTGGCTGGGTTCAGAGGTATGGATACGTTATGTGGAAACAGACCACAGGGGAT